GGATGGATCGAGGGATGGATGGATGGATGGATGGATGGATGGATGGATGGATGGATGGATGGATGGATGGATGGACATTTGACAATCCCCTTTTCTTACAAACAGCACAGTAACCGTCCACACGCCCACCCACACGCACAAAACATCAACAGTTTATTTACATTACGTTGTTCATGTCAATGATCTTACCTTTAATGAAATTGCTATTTCGATGGACGGGCTAAATCCGAATATGTTAATCATACCCTTCAAGTAAAACCCCTTTTTGATCTTTTTATCTTCACCTGCATAAGACCCTTTTGTGTCAGGCAGGGAAACAGAAATCTAATAAACAAAAAATATCAGTTATTAATATCCTGTTCGGTTTATTGATCGCGTGGCCATGCTCGTCAGGTGCCGGTTGGTTGGTTGGTCGATCAGTCGGATTGTCGTTTGGTGGTTAGGTTGTTTCATCTATCTGTCGGTCGGTTGGTTAGCAGGTTGGTCGTTTGGTCGGTGGGGGGGTTGGATGGTTGCTCGATTTCTCTGTCGCTTCAGCGTTGATTGGTTGATAAGTGTGCTGTTCGGTTTGATTGTCGTTCGGACGCCAGTGGGTCGATGGGTTCATCTACCGGTAGGTCGCGATCATTTGGTTGTTTGTTTGGTAGGTGTGGTTGATAGGTGGTGTTAGATGGTCGGTCGGTCGGTCGTCCTGTTGATCATTGTTTGGTTTGTTTCATTGTATGTATTATCAAAATATATCTTAAGCTTGATATACTTACCTCTACTCCTTTAGGAAATCCAGTCTCGTCAACAACTTTGGGCATTTGTATTTTGGAGCCCAATAACCTAAACACCACGCCCAGAGTCAGGGATGATAATTGGGCACTGACATATCCCTTGAATGGATTGACGTCTACACCTATTGACGCTTTTGCCCTTATACAATGTCCAGTGGTAAAATCAAAAGCTTGGGGTCCAAAGCAGTCATATCCTACTTCTATGGTACCTTGAAGCTCGAGCCCTTGAGGTATGCCATGGGCTAGATTGATGGTCATCCTGTGTTGAAAAAAAAAAAAATACTATTTTGAACAACAGGTCTTTTGCAACAAACAGTCACGTGCTATAATATATCACTTTGATAACGAATTCAGCTCAAGGTTCCTTAAGGAAGGCTCTGCTGGATGGCAAACAAACTTTAAA